GTGCGCCTGAGAGGCCTTTGCCTCCCGGCTACAAAAAGCCATATTAGTCTTGGTCAAGTCCGTTTATTTATTTATTTTCCTCCCAGCAACAGGCCGTCCATCTGAAAAACAATGTCGACAGGATGTGCTCCTTTGCATTTTGGAGCGTCTTGCTGCATTCCAACTGACCCGGTTTGATTGCGCTCGCTTGCCGAGAGATTTCCCCGCTAATCCTGATTTCCAAGTGTGACTAAAGTGGATCAAGCCGTCTTATCCCGAGACTCAAATTGTTGGCGGGGAGGCAACCGCACTCGCAGATGTTCATTGGCAAGGGGCAGAAATGAGAGCACTGTCATGGCGTCTTGACACAGCACAGCCGAGGTCATTATGCAAGCACAGGGTTGGTAATCTGTCAAAAAGTATCCTGGCTCCCACTTTTGATCCCCCTGCTGGATGAGCTTCTGTGCTTTATCTTGCTTTCCATTTCTTTTCAAGCACAACTCTTTACCGTATAAGACTTGGCTGAGCTTCATGTTTGTGCTGCTATGGCTTATAGCTCAAAGGGGACGTAGTGTGTCAACAAGTTAAAACAGTTCCCAGTTGTCTTTATAAAATATCAGTGACATGCTTTGGTGAAAAGTGACTCTCTCCCTCAACACTCACCATGTGGTATGCCTTGTTGTCTCATCAATTTGCTTGTACAGTCAAACCTCGGTTTTCGAACGTCTCGGTTCTCGACCATTTCGGTTTTCGACCAAAAATTTTGACTTTTTTATGCCTCGGATGACGAACAAATTTCGGTTCTTGAACAAACTGAGCGCACTTGAATGCACCATTTGAATGTCCTGTGGCCGTTATTCGACCTTGCTTCAGCGGCGCATGTTCTGCGGCCGGCACCCATCCCTGCTTCGGCGGTGCACGTCCAGCAGCTGTCAACCGTCTCTGTGCTGGCGGTGTATGTCCTGCGACCGCCACGATCCCTTTTTCGGCGGCACACGTCCTGTGGCCATCAACCGTCCTTGCTTTGGAAGCACACATCCTGCGGCCGCCGCTGGGTGACTTTGGGACATCTGGAATCGGTACCTTGAGGGAGGGATTACTCTCATGATTCTGTTTTTGTTTAGATTATATTTGGTTTTGTTTCCTCATGTGCTTTTTTTGTCTTCCTCTTTAGGTTTTGTTTCCACATCTCATCCAGGTACCTTGTGTTCAACAATCATCTTCCTCAACCCTTTGTATCTTGTCTACTCTCCATCCTCATCCTTCTTGACCTTACAGCTGCCTTCGACACCATCAACCACTCCATCTAACTTTTTCGCCTGCAATCCCGAAACATCCCCGACAAAGTCCGCACCTGGCTTCGCTCATATCTCACAGACAGGAAACACTTCATACACAACAACTGCTCTTCCTACACTGCCCCACTGTCCAAAGGTGTCCCCCGGGGTTCTGTTCTTGTCCTCTTCTCTTCATCCTCTACCTTCTACCCCTCGGCCAAATCATTCGTCATCATGGTCTCCAGTTCCACTGCTACACTGATGACGTCCAATTGTACATCTCCACCAAATCATTTACCCCAACAACCCACTCCACCCTGTCTTACTGTCTTTCAGATATCAAATCCTGGATGCAAACAAACTTTCTCACTCTTAACTGCACTAAATCTCAACTGGTAATAATCGGTCCTCGGTCCCTCACCCAAACAACCTCCAACTTTAACCTCACTATCGACAACTACACCCTGTTCCCCTCCCCTCACTGTTGCAACCTCAGTGTCCTTTTTGTTAATAACCTCTCTTTCGACCAACACATCACCCAAATCACCAAAACTGCTTTTTTCCACCTCAAAAACATTTCTCGTCTTCGCCTTTCACTTTCTTCAAACCCTCATCCACGCCTTCATCACCTCCCGCCTTGACTACTACAATAGCATCCTCTACGATACAACCTCCAAACTCCTCAATAAACTACAGTACATCCAGAATGCCCCAGCCCGTCTACTCACCCACACCCGCACTCTCAATCACATCACCCCCGTCCTTAAAAACCTCCACTGACTCCCCGTTCCCCAGCGTATTCAGTTTAAACTCCTCCTCACCTATATAGCCCTTCACAATCAGGCCCCCTCCTTCCTCTCCGACCTTCTTCACCAATACACTCCCTCCCGCAACCTCCGCTCTTCAAACACAAACCTCCTCGCCATCCCCGTGACCAAGCTCAAAACCTGGGGGGACCGAGCCTTCTCTGTCGCTGCCCCCACCCTCTGGAACGCTCTACCAAAACACATCCGCAACTGTACTGACCTCCAATCCTTCAAATCATCTCTTAAAACTCACCTGTTCCGCAATGCTTTTAACACCTTTTAATTTCTTTTTACCTATTTTTGCTTTTTTTGTTCATCTAAATGTGTTTTTTGTAAATCATGTATGCTTGTCTTTAAGTGTACATTTTTATCCTGTGTTTTAAGCTCTTGTAAAGAGTGTGAGTATGATGAAAAGCGCTTTCAAATAAAATGTATTGTTATTATTATTATTTGTCCAGGTGTTCCTTGTTGTCTCGTCAGTTTGCTTGTATTTAGTTCCCAGGATGCTGTCAGTCTGTGTCGAATCGTTGCTGGTGTCATGTTGTTTTATTTTACTGTCATGGGTTTTTGTTTGTTTGTTACTTTGGTTTATTGGGCTTATTCAGGACTTTTTTTGTTTTAGTTTTTCCACAGTACCCCTGCAAGTTTTTTTTTTCCATGTGACAGCAGCACAGCACACTATTTTTTTTTCTCCAACACCAGGTAAAAAAGTTAATTAACACAGTATTACCCTCACTTGAGATGTCAAAATAGTTTTGTGGATCCTACTGCATTTTTCTTGTTTTTTGGGAAGGGAAGAAACACTCAAAACATCTCTTTTACCCTTTTCCCACTGAAACTAGTGGATAGTAGTGATCCGTGGCGACACGCAACTAATTGGCATATTGTCCCTTTCCTATTGATTAACAGAAGGCGATTCTGCGCCCCCACGACCCCCCTTCCACCACTTTGCGTCTGGTTACGTCACCACGCTGTGATTGCGTAGATGATAGTGCGACAGATTTCTTGGTGGTAAACAAAGCAACATGGAAGCGAGTGTTCTTTCTTTTATCATGCTTTTTATCGTCCTCAAAATGGTCGAAAAGCAGCAGAGGATCAACTCTTTGCTACCATATCGCCCTATGTCATCACGTAATTACCGGGCAGCTCCTGTGGTAGGCTTACTAACTGCAAGCGATACGGAGCGGAGGCGATCACAACCCGCCTCCCATGGCATGCTGGTGGACACGGATTGACACTGGCCAGTGAGCCTTTCCCACTGCCCAAAAAAGCGTGTTTACCCATGGTTTTGCGGCAGTGGGAAAGGGGTATTTGAGTATTTAAGGTTGCCAACCTCTGACTTAGACTTACACGACACTTATCACCCTCTTAAAATCATGCCGTTTTGGGGGACAGTCCTGTTTCATGCAAATGGGTACTGCTTTGTGTGTCATGCTTGAATCAAGATAAACCAAGGATTAAGAATTGCATTACACCGTTCAGCCTCTTTTTAAAGCATTTTGAAAACAATGGTATGACTGGTCAGCAAATTTTTACCATTTTTTAAAATCAGATCGTCAAAAATATGTTTTGTAAAATTTTGAGCCTTCTCGGATTAAAATTTGCTGTTGGGCCATTGTACTGGAAGGTCTGTCCTATGTGTAATGCACACTTCTTACCCTTTTTTACAACCCTCTTGAAGGCTGCGGTAGTCCAGGAAAATGACCTGCTTCTCAGTGTGATATGCTTTGATTAAAATAACCCAGGGCTCAAGAATTAAAACACGTTGTTCACCTTCTTTTTACAGCCTTGTTGCAATCATATATTTTACGGCAGATTTTTTTGTTGATCTCCCCCCCCCCCACAGACAAGACAAATTCACACAAATACAGGCATGCTGTACCTTTAAAGCAAACACCATTATGAAGACTGAATAATAATTGACAGCACAAATCTTAAAGTCACCCCAACCCAGTTGCATAAGCTCTTGTCGAATGTGTTTTCAATGAGTTTCTGCCATTCTCTGTACATTTCTTGAGGTTGATTCCTCCTGGAAGAATATTCATGTAAACTGCTGTGTGCGATCTTTACTTTACTTACTCTAGTTTACAAATAGGTTATACAGTATTTGTTGATGAATGAGAGTTCTCACACATCGGAATTTGGAAACAAGGTGATCAGGGAGAGAGATTGTAATAGACATACTTGAATGGTAGGACAACTCCATATTTGTCCATATTCATGTAATGATAATAATAATACATTTTATTTAGAAGCACCTTTCACAACACTCAAGGACACTTTACAATCAAGAACAAAAACAATAAAACAAAAGATAAAATTATAAATAAAAGAAGAGATGTACAGCGTCACACAACATTTTGCATGACAAGGCTCCAACATTCATCGAAAATAACAACCACGAGTAATGTAGAGTGCAGTTTCTCAGGGAAATGTATTTGGTCCACGTAAAAAAATAAGGTTGACTGCTCTTCGTCCATGCAAACTCCAAAAGGTGAACAGCTCTGCATTTTCTCCACTTTCTACTTCCTGTATAAATTTCAACACTTTGGTCCACACCGGGTACTGGCATAGAGTGCTATAGGCAAGGTTATTTGCATTACGCATTTCAATTTCAAAGGCAACTGTGCTGTGTGCTTTACACAAATGAAATAAAAGAGCAAAATAAGAAAAATGAAAATTAAATATTTAAAATAACTATACATAATTAACTGAAGTACATGATACATAAACTAGTTAAAAAATGTAATGGAATGGGCGGGTGGGGGATGAAAGGCGTTTTATATAAAATATAGATACATTTCTCGTACAATGAGAATAAAAGCGAATGATGAAAGGACAGTTATCTATAGTTTTGGTTCAGGTCGGTTTGCACTCCAGAAAGCTGAAATTGTTCTTTTTCAACTTCTGAGCAGCAAAAATGGATTTGACTGCCGTTAAAAGTCAGAAGGGTTTAATACTTGTACCTCAACTTCATAAATTTAATAGTCTGATTCAGATTCAGAAAACTTTATTTATCCCCGTGGGGCAATTAGAGATGTCACACAATATGCCCATAGAGACATATTAGAAGACTTATGTACACTATATTTATCTGTATTATTAGTCATAAAACCTCTCATCATTCATCTCAAAAGATTCTGCATAGAAATTGGTGTGTTGATTAGTTTTCACAAAAATGATCTGTCTGACATTATAAAAAAAATAAAGAAATAAAAAATGACCAATTCCTACAAAAAGGTCACTAACAAAACAAATAATAGCTTATCGCAGTCAGCAGTCATGTTTTGTTGTTTCCACTTGACTGGAAGACTTTGAAGTCAACCCGTATAAGCTCCAGACTTCCAGGCAGCCTGAAATGCAGCATGCATTGGCAGTTGATTCTCAAGTTGTGCGCCGTATCAGGTCTAATAAATGCTTGCTGAAACGTGTTTAGTTTGCACTCGGGGCTCTGTTTGCCAGCCTAGTCAATAGCTCTTTCTTTGTTTAGATTCTTTAGGCATACTCGTAAGGTCTCATGGGCCCAAACCGTTTCGTGATTGGTGTACTCTGTGAGACGTATTGTTTAACTAACCGAAAGTCGGTGTGTAGACTTAAGAAGTGGAGTACTGTACACATCATGATGACTTTTGTTTCATGCACTTAGGGACTACAGATATCGCAGTTTGTACAAGCGTTGACAAACAAAATTAATACCTTTCCCAAATTCGCACAATTTAATAATTTGACCAATATTTTTGTGCAAAACATTTTTTTACGGTGTACAGGCAAATCTAAGTTTACAATTGCAGCTCTCTGTGTGTAAAGTTAACCCACCTGTGGTGTTTCACATTGTACGTTTGCATTAAGTTAGCGATTTTTCATAAAAATAAATGACAATTTGGTTTCAGCATTTTGGTGTTTAGATGTACACGTTTAATTCTTTTTTTTTATGTTGCAGTTTCTAAATAAACTTCTACTTTGACTGACAAATAATCATCCTGATGCAAGCAAGCACAAAGAGTACAAGTGGGACAGTCAGGACTGGCGCCAGTACGTTTAACTGTTTTTTTAAATTTAAGTGTGCTAGGGTCATTAAAGTGAAGACACTAGTACAAATCTCTACTTGAATTGATCTCAGTGGGAAATCTTTTAAAACATGTCCGAGCTAAATGTCACCTAACTTCAAGAAATGTATTGTATTCAAACTGTACAATCTTATGAATCTACAAGCCAATGAGTGGAGGCAAGAGGACATTTGTGTGCAACAAAAACCCTTCAGCTGCACCCCGTACACTTCCAATCTGCAGACATGGTGGTCTGCCAAACATGGCTCATGAAGGCGATTTGCCTGCAAAGCTGCTCTTCAGCCTCGGGGATAACGGAAAATCCTCTGAGGCTAACCCCAGTATTTTCATCAAATCTTTTAACCAAATGAAGCACAAGCACAAATGTGTAACTCCAAACGCAGAACGACAAAATTCACTTTCAACTGATTGACCAAGTAAGTCACACTGCAGTTATTTTGGAAAAATAATTCTTACAGAAGTTTAATTATGACATTCAAGACCCGACCAAAGGAAATTGTACCGACGGCCTTGATTAAAACAGATCTCGGAATATAGGACCTTTGGCATAAGTAGTTGTTTTTGAGCTACAATAAACAAAGGAAGAAAGAATATACAAACAGTAGAAAATAAGGAAGAAAAGATGATGCGACTCTGACAATGAAGAAGATGCAGCCATTAGATGTGTAATTTATGGTGCTGCGAAATATTGTTGAAGATTTTTCATCACAATTAAAAAAAAAAATCCATTCCATAACGTTGAATATCAATTTTTAAACGTGTGTATGTGATTGTGTGTAAGTCTAGGGGAGTGCAATGTATTTATATACTTTTTTATATTTTTATATTTCACGATACGCTTGGGGGGGAGGCTCCCGCAAAATCTCGTTGGAACAAGTGTGCAATGACAAAGTATTCATTCATTCATGAGAGAGAGAGAGAGAGATGTTTAGATTAAAACCCAAAACTTCAAATGCACTCTTCCAAGTTATTACACAGACAGACTTTCAAAACGTATTGTATGTTGTACAGAACTAAAAATGTTATTTGTTGAAACTGCAACATTAGGGGTTATATTTACTGAAATTGGCCTAGGATTGGCTGACAATCAGTTCAGGGTGTCCCGGCCTACTGCCCGAAGACAACTTGGACAGGCTCCAGCGTGCCCCGTGATCTTTGTGAGGAAAAGCGGATCAGAAAATGGATGGAAGGATTTAGTGAAATCAAAACCTCTTTTAATTAAAAATATTTTAACAGGTCAAGTTACTTTTTAACATTGGCTCTCTTGATAGCAGCCTCACAATTCTTGCATCCAGTAAACGTTTGAGTTTGATTATGTGTAAGAGTTTCTTGTCTAGATAACCCTCAAGAGCTGCTGTTTTGATATGAATCTGTCTCCCACTCTCTTTCTCCCACCCTCATACTTGAGGACGTTCCAAAGGTTCTGAACAAGGTTGAGGTCAGGGGACGATAGGGTTCACACCATGAGTTTGTCTCCTTTTATGCGCACTGCAGCCAGTGATGCAAATGTATTCCATACAGCATGAGATTATTCATTGATGAGTGCTGAGCAACACTTGATGGTTCTGATGGATGCAGTAGCGGATGGTTGGTGGATGGCCCCCATGGGCTCTATTTTCGTGACCAACCAAAGTCTGGCACAAGGCACAGTTTAAGTCCATGCAGGGGTGGGGCGGGTTAGACTTTGTTTTGGTATTTTGTACACAGCTTTCCGTTGTGTAAAATGAGCATTTTGACACTTGCGGATAAACACACCGAAGGGCTATGTGAGCTAGCTTGAACAGCTGCACCTGAGGTGCCCATGCTCTGTGTTGGAATAAATGCGTAGTTATATCGTCCTGTAGGGGCTTGAACATGGCAGCAACCAACCAAAGCTTGTCTGAGAAAATAACTTTTTTGAAGCTACTTTTTACTTGTTTTTGAAAGTATTAAAGCAATCGTGACTGCGGTGATGAATAGATGAATGAACTCCATCTTGATAAATCACGCGATGTTCACATAAATCTGCGTATGTCACACCGCTGTAAAAACGGCTCTTCTGATGAACGTAGGGGAGCAATCCAACACAAATCCAAACCAGAACTATTCAGTCAGTCATATTATAGACCAGTTTCCCTACTTCTCCAATTTCCCAAAATATTATAGAAGTTATTTGTGAAGCAATTGAATTTGTTTATTAATGATAAAAAGAATAGTGAGAACCAGCGTTGAGAAAAAGTAGGACTACTACATATGCAGTGATGCAAATGGTAGAAGATATTGCAAATGCAAATGAAAATGAATATTCTATTGGGTTCCATCTCAATCCACAGAAGGCGTTTGATACAGTAGATCTCAGACAATTACTTGGGAAATTGGTGAAGTATGGGAAAAGGTGTGTTACCTATTCATGGCTAGAAAGCTATTTGGAAAATAGACAGCAATGTGCAAAAATGAAAAAAAAATTATATATATATATATATATATATAAACCCACTACGGCGGCTGGATAGCTCAGTTGGTAAGGCATCGGTTTGGCGTACGGGGGACGGGGGGTCGAATCCCGCCTGGGGCCAAAATGAGCACATAACACCCTCC